CAGTTTCACTTGAACCCTGACTCTCAGTCGCACCACTCATGTTCCTCTCAATACCACCATTTCCACTGTGACAGACGCTGACACTCTCCCTTTCACTCTCGAACGAGATCTCAACCCTAATTTCACCCTCAAACTCACTCTCGCGTTTACGTTCACGTTGACTCCCGCCCGAATTCACTACCACGTTCACTCTCGCTTGTTCACTTCAATTTCCCATGATTCACTCTCACTCTCATCACGACTCACTCGGTTACACTCTCACTCCCAGCTCACTCGCAGCTCACCACTTGTAACTGCCGCTCATTCCTCTCGTGCGTCTCCCGCAGCTGTGTCCCGGCTTCCCTGAGAGCCTTCTGCATCTCGTCTATGCCCAAGAAACGGGGACGCTCTCCCGGCGTTTCTCCCCAACCGCTGCCGGCGGTACCGCCTCCAACGTTTACTGTGGCGACGGTACTACCGCCGCCCCAAGGCGAAGTCGACGGAATGGAGGGCTTCGGCTTAGCGGCCGGTCGGGTCGCACCCCGCCGAACTTGCTCTTCTTCCCATCTGCAAAGGCAGTCGAGTCATGAACCACGAGGGCCGTTCCATACGGTTGGGTCGCATTCGTGCCAGTATTGGGTGGCACACGACCACCAAGACTGTTGTCGATGCTCTAATTGGGTACAGCCAACACGCACGCAGCAGCAAGGAAAACACTACACATTCGAATGGAGTGATTGAGACCCTGCATCCAAAAGCGAGTCATGTTGTAAACCTTGTGTTGTCGTCTGAGCCGCAAACAGATGCAAGGAGCACAATCTTTCGTGTACTACAGCGGCCGGGCGAGAAAGATGCGCTACAATCAAGTCTTCTGCGGTTGTAAGGTATCGTCTCGAAGACAACCTTAGGTTTCGAAGACACCCTCAGACTAGCGGAGAAAACAGCAGAAAAAAACACAGCAATTCCCCAAGGAGAAGGAGATCGGCTCGGTTCTATTTTTGCTGGTACTGAAGGGAGCTGCCGCATCTATCAGTGTTGACACACCACGCTGAGGAATGGATGTGTTGACAAACCACGCTGAGGGATGTCGCATTGATGAGTATTGACAAACCATCCTAAGGGATGCTTCACAACGAACCACAAAAAACCACCGACCCACCCACACGCACGCACGCACACACCTAACCCCCTCCGCTCATTCCCTTGCCCATTTCGGGTGAAACACACATACGACAGAAACAACATCATGGAACAACCCACGCGGGGAAACGACCAACCCTGCAAACGGCGAGAGTATCAGACATTAGCTGCGACGTACACGATTAATGCGGGTACCTCTGCTGCTCTTCATCGTCCTCCCGCCCACCATCGCCGTTGACAACATCGTGTGTCAAGCCCTTTCTCGCACCGGGGACAGGGGCCTGTCGCAAAGAACAGATCCGAAAATCGAACGTGCGGAACGGAGATGAGTGATTTTCAGTACGCATGACCGAGGGAGGGTTGACAGTTGCACAAGGACGAAGGACAGCTAAATAAACAAATGTCGCTCGTAGGAAGAGGGCGAATGCTCGGCTAACGTACGTCACGAACGCTATGTATCACGTTCGGTATCATGCCAAAAATGAGGACACGGAGTGCAATCCAAGTGGGATAGGATGTGAGGGATTTGATATTCTTCTCGCACGCAAGTGAAGTCGCAAGATGGCGTTAGCGTTGGGCACTCTATAAAATCACAGAGCGTCGGAAGAAAGTCGTCGGCCTTGTACAACGCCGTACACTCTCCTCCAACGGCACTTCACGTAAGCCCCTCTTCACCTGTGTCTCAAAATCGTCACAAAGGCGGGACGCAAAAGTCCAACAGTTTTTTGTCGGCAGTTCTCGTGAATGCGTCCGTGAAAACTACAACGGATTGAGCGATTGCGCCAGCAATATTGAGTCTGGTGACTATGTATCTACGAGTCCAACTTGCTATAACTTGCTGTTAAACTTTTGTCCACCGTACCTTCGCGTCAAGAGGGATAAAATCCTCGCCATCACCGCTGTCAGGTGCACCTTTTCCCATAGCCTCTCTAGAGGCTAACAACGCCTCGTGCCTGCCCTTTAGGCGCGAAATGTCATTTTTGTTCAAATCCTGCAACGACAAAAACAACGCAACGAACAAGCGCGTCATCAGCTGGAAGTGGCGGCAGCCGCAGCATCTGCATCAACGATGACTCCAACGGAAGGACGTCCGCTCCGGCTGTGGCAGCAGCAACCGTGGGCTACATGAGCAAGGAGACGAGGCGACGCGGCAGATACGCAGGCGCTTCTACTGCACGTTCACCCTGCCGCACCCGTTGGCTGCCAGAACAACCTGTCCTTGGACGCAAAACAATAAACAAAACAATAAACAAAACAATATACAAAACAAAACAATAAAAAAAAGCACCCTTTTCCTTGGATGGCTGCCAAGGTCCGATCCCTCACCTCTTTCAGGTCCCCCTGCTGCCCCGCCTCGTGGATCATTTCCGCCTCGTCCCCAGCAAATACTCGCTCGTTCGCCGCCGCTGAGGCGGTTTCCTCGCCCCCGTTGCTGCTGTTGCCGCCCCTCGTCATCCTCTCGCGCGACCTACCTCCCGAGGGCTTGGGCGTGAAGGCCTGGCTACTGCGAAGTTCTGCGAGGCCCTCCTTGGTGTACATGCCAGCGGTTGCGGTGTGCCAGGAGCCCCGCGCGGAGTTGTTCTGCGGGGCGACGGGGAGCTCCGTTTTCTCTTTGGCGGCTTTGGCCATCGCCTGGTTTGTAGGTAAGGATGGGAAGGGCTAAATAGGGTAAGGAGTCGCGGTGGAGACAGTTCACGATGTTCATGGTAGGAAAAGTGGATCACGGTGGTCAGCGAGTCGCAGACGCCGCCATAGTGTGAGACTTAACGCAGTCGTACAAAATGTCCCTAGTGCTGTGCAGGAAGCACTGGTGGGAAAGAAATTACGAAAACAGCAGCCTTGGTCCCTCTTTGCGCCACCTTGGTGATGGAACATATTAACAATGAGCCACGGAGCACGTAGCGATTCTTGCCCTCGTCCCCGGGAGTTGGACGAGAGGAAAAGGAAATACGCAACACTAGCAGTTGCTCGGTTCAAACCAGGATAAGCAGAGAAAGCACCCAGCTAAACACGCAACACCGCCAGGAGGGGCAGACAGCACTGGCGAGGGGAGGGGGCCATACACACAGCTCGTGGCGGATACGTTTGTCAAGCTGTTGCTTCGGTGGGTGGACAGCAGGGGTCACCTGAAAACAAAACTAGCTGCTGTGTCAAGCTCCCAAGGACAAAAAAATGTACAAGAAGAGACCCTCTGGGGAAGGCGCACGCATGCACTGCCGAACAAGAAAGGTAGATGGGATTGGAGTCATTGCCATAACAGCAGCATCACAGCAGCACTACAAGTGTGTTCGTGTAAGCCATCACTGTGCAAATGTGTCTTGTGCCAGTACTGATAAGTGACAATCGTTTGGCGGTAGAGTTGTTGTTGTAGTGTTGTAGCAAAGGTGAGCAGGTGGTGTTCGTGTTCCTCCGCCGTTGATATGCAGCAAACTTCCAGCGGGAGCAGGTACATGGTTGTGGAAGATCCGTTCGAATAAAAAAATTCCGCGAGTAATTGGATTGCGCGGTCCGGGTTGTTGGGTTGCTGCCTAAAGCTGAGTTGCTGCCTGGAAGCACCGTGTCTCGCGGCACAGCACCGCAGATAGACTACTGCAAGGTATTGAGTCATCACCAGCGGCTCATTTACCCCCTTATCTAGTACACGCGACCGGCGCGTCCTAGATATAAAGAAGTTTAATTGTTGAAGAAGTCAGCGTACGCTACCCTCCAGCGCGTGAAGCATGATGCAAGGAAACCGATCATTCTAGAAGGACGAGACACGAGAAGTTGCCGATGCTCTGCGCTAAGGGAGGGAACAAGCCCCACGGCTTACAGGCTATGTCACACCTTGGTTTCACCAAAACAAGGAGCTGAGCAGGATTGTTGGTTATTGCCAAGGGCCTGCTGGTGAATTTCAACACAACACGGAATTACGCCAAGTACACAGCATGGGGGGCACGCGACTTGCAACGCGCATCCGCTATCTCTACTAGATGTATGGGTTCAAGAACACCAGCATTCCCACTGCACACTGCACAGAGGTCGTCTAGAGCAGATGAGAAGCCCGCTGCACAGGCAACTGATTGCGGCCTTAGCTCGCTGCGAGGTATGCAATCGTCGTACGCGAGGATCCAAATGGCCGCAAGCGACAAGATCCTGCACGCTGAGCGGCAGGCATGGCGACGAGGCCACAACAGCCCAACCCTGGCTACTGCTGCAACCTCTAGAACGCCTCACAAACACGGTGCTCCTTGAAAGCAAAAATCTGACACCCCCGCCCGCACCTTGCTGGCCTTGCTCTTCTTGACTCGGAAGAAGCCATCGGCTCCCTTCCCCGCGGCAGCCTTGCCCACCCCGATCCCAGCATCCTCCTCATCCTCGTGGCCGAAGCTCAGCACAGGCTTGACCTCCTTGTCCGCCTTCGCTTTCGACTTCTTGCGCATCTTTTTTGGCCGGGCTTGCCCATCACCCGTCGAAGCGGCGGGTGGGGGCGGCGCGGGAGCCGTGCCTACGCTGGCGTCCGACACGTTCCCTGCTTCGTCCTCGCTCGCACCATCCTCCGCGGTCTTGCTCTTGCTCGCCAGACGCCGCCGCGGGTCTTTCTTCCTGGTTTTGAACATCGCGATGCGGCGCTGCGACGGGCGCTCAAGGGCTTCCGACAGCCTCTGCAGGAATCTCTCTGTGCCTGTTTCCTCTCCACCTATGTATCTGGTTGCTGTCCGTGCTACCTGGGTAGTGCTGTGTTCGTTGCTCGCAAAGGAGGTGCTCGCCTGCCAGGGGCTCCGCACATTCGGCGGCGAGGGAGTGCCACAAAATCAGGAAGCGTCTAGGTTCGGGGTTGGCGACCTCTCGGGTTTTCTTTCTGTGGGATCCCCGAATGAGCCGACCGCACTTCGCCCTCCGCCCATCCTGGAGAGCTACCGAACATGGCGACCGAGGAGGCGAAAGTGGTGGATGCCGTGCCGCCGCCCCCTGCATACTACAAGCTTTTCTCCCCAGGTGCGGCGATAGGTACGGGGTTGCTACCAGTGAAGCAAGGTCCATCATCTCAAAGACACACTCGTAAATCACTGCCAGGTGCTTCACGCAAGCACCAGCTATTCAAGTGCAACTGCGGTGGCGTGCGGTATGGTTGGAACATTTCAAACTGTCTTTGTGCACACAATGAAAATCCTACAATTCATCCATATTGCTTGCCATTGAAATTGAAATTCGAACAACGAATACGCATTGTAAGCACACCCATGGCACAACATGTACATCATCGGGTGTCCTATCCAAGGACCGCAAGATAAAGATACGACCATCATGTGGTACGGCGCTACAATTACAAGTGAAGCCGTGTTCAGCGCCCCCTCGGACGTCTGATGAAGGGCTATCTGTTCTATTGTGCGTAATACTCTCGTGCACGCAAGGGTGTCGAAAAGCATCTGGCCCCACTGCCTATGTGCGCTGTTCGCAACGAGCTTTGGCCTGTCTGCCACGAAGTTCACGATGTGTCTTGTCTCTGTTGTTCTAATGCTACGCCGCCCCATGTTAGGCGCTAGCTTGACGGGCCAAGACGTAGGTGCAAGCGCCGCCATTGCGGCACCAGGAGATTCAGCAGGAGGCGCGGGAGGAACGGCACCAAATGAATTTCCCCTGCAACCACCCCGGCCACCAGGCCCCGGCGAGACTTACAGGATGTTCGGGATGCCTTACAGCTCGGAGGTAGGCGGCAGTGGGATAGATTGGCTTGTGCTGACGGGCTAAGGCTGGCAAGCGATGGGAGGCTCGCATGCATTATACGCCGAGAGTTTTGTTGTATTGAAGTGCCATGCGTCATTGGGTGGACATTCCCTTGGTACCTCTGTCTCTTTCTCCTCTACGAGCAGGTACCTTTTTCTGGCGATAACCAAGCATGCGTTCATGTGTTCTCCCGCAAGTTGGGTTCATACGCTTCCAGTGGTGCCCCCAATAATCACATACCCACGGCACGCGCGGTTGGCGTTATCACACACCCTACCAGTGTTTGGTCCTATTGCTGGCATCCGCCTCTTCCTCCCGAATCATCCACATGCTGCTTCACAACTTTGTATCAACCCCGTTCTCACATGCCTTGGCTATCGGTCGGCTGATCCTAGCCTGTCGAGCAAGAGCTTCTTCCGCCAGAGAAGATCGTCGTGCCGGCGTCCGGCCAGGCGATCGACTTCCGGGCCGGGCTCAAGGGCCTCCTGAACAGCATCATGGCCAACTACGGCCAATTCATGGAGATGCTCGTCAGGTATGTGTGCGCTGGAGTTCAGTGTGCCGCGGGAAAAACTGCTGTGTCGGAGTCGGTCGATATTTCAGCATGTATGGTGAGTATCACAAGGACGATAGGTGGCTTGATCGTGCTCTACAGGCAACCAGCTGGTTCAAAGGGCTCGCAAGCCGGGCCGGTTCGAGCCTTGTGCTCTAGTGCTCTAGTCTGGGCCCGGGGATGCACCACTGCGACCGATGTGGCAACGATGCCCTGCAACGCAACTCAACGGCATCTCCTGTCGCCATCGTATTGGCTGTACTCGAGTAAACCACGCAACGACTTCGCTTGCTCTTTTCAGTGTCGCCTCCCTTCCCCCTTGCCCTGGCGTTCGTCTATGTTTCCATTTTTGCTCTCGGCGGCCACTTGTCTGTGGCATCCCCGTTCAACAGCTCGCCTGCCCGGGCACACGAAAAGCTGTCAGACGTGGAGACGCTATTTGTTAACTTCCACAGCCTCCTCAACCGGTATCGGGCGCACCAGGTAACGTTGGTGATGATGCTACAGAAGCGGACGTATTGCTCGTGTTGGCAGCTTCTCCCGTGTGCTGTTTGTGGCGGTGCGCTGCTTAGGCCCTGGTAGAACTCCTGTGCCCAGTACAAGGTTGGGTTTACCGCCTCATTTGATGTACAGTAGTTATATCCTGCCGGTGTCAAGAACGTACTTCTTTCGTCCGTATACTCAGAAAGATTGTGGTGGAACTGATTTTGACATTGTTACCATCGAAGAGGGTATGCAGGGCGAGGCATCCGTTCTTGATGCCATCATTTATCTTTCAAACAGCGCAGAAGGATAGAACCCGATGCCCGCCCATCTCCGCGGGGTGATATGCGAACAAGTTCTCGTTTTTTTCGGGCTTCCGCCGTGCTGATAGACGTCGATAGCGCCCGAGCACGCCGATGGTCAATGAGATCTAGCCATCCAAGCGCTTGCCGCTGTATTGCGTTTGTTTTAGCAAACTGCCAGGAGCTTGCCTAGTTCCTACTTGTTTTTGTGTGTTTTTCCTGACTGGGTTACGACCTCCGAGAGCGGAGTTTCGTTCGTTCGCCGAGCTTGATGGTAGAGGTCGAAACGCTTTTGGTGGAGACAACACCAACGACAACACCAGCACCACGCCAGGTCTCAATCCGCTCATCACGAAGTGTATCGGACACCTCCGCTGGTCGCTCGCTCATGCCATTGCTAATTTTCAAAGGCGCGGCATATCGTCCTCGAGCGCTTGCGCAGCCAGGCGGAAGAAAACGACGCGGTCATGTCCACCCTCGAGGCGGCCATGCACCAGTGCACCTCAGCCCAAGAAAGCGCGTTCTCCTGCCTCGGCCTTCAAGAACACGGCGCCAGCTGTGTTGCCGAGGGAGAGAGGGAGAGAGCACAGCAGGGGCGCGTGGAAATGGATATAGATGAAACTATCGGGGGGGCGGCTACTACGGCTGTGGGTGAGGGTGGGCACGCGGGGGAGGGGGTAGCGACGAGCGAGTTCGGGAAGGCCGGCAAGGGCATATTGAGAGCGGATTTGGCGCCAGCTGTAGAAAGTGGAAACCCCCGATGACGGGGCGGAGAGGGGGGGGGGGG